AAAAAAAATTAAAAAAAAAATGCGAGAACTTGAAGGTAACCTAAATATCCTACAGTTGGGTACTGATGAAAGTACCTACAACTGCCTGCTCTGTAACTGCTAGAATGATACTGTGAAAGAATATTGAACAAGCATGTGAAAGTGTCTGAGTTAAAAAGCAGGCATAAAACGACAACATAGGTGGCATCAGCCCATGTTGGCAAATGAACACAAAATATTTATATGGAAAAAAGATTGGAAGTCTACAGGCCAAAATGTTAAGATAGTGAGTTTTCTTTTCTTTTTTTTTTTTTTTTTTAAGTTTTTAAATTTACGTGTTGAGAGAGAAAGAGAGAAAGAGTAAGGGAGGGGCAGAGAGAGAGAGAGTCCCAAGCAGGCTCCTCACTGTCAGTGCAGAGCCCAATGCAGGGCTCGAACTCATGAACCGTGAGATCGTGGCTTGAGCAGAAACCAAGAGTCAGATGCTTAACCGACTGAGCCACCCAGGCGCTCCTCCTTTTTGCTTTTACGTTATCTTGTGTGTGTCATTTGCACGTGGCAGGATAACGGCAATGGTCATGGTGGTCATGCCTATATCATTCTGCGTGTCAAGGCTGCACCATGAACGCATCACCCTGTCTAAGTAGAAAAACCCATGGACTGATCTGGCATTAAATGAGACCATATATATAAAAAATGCCTGGCACAGAGACTGGCACATAGCAAGTGTTCAATAAGTGTTAGTCCTCTCCTTTCCCTGCCTGGAGGGTAGATCACTTTTACCTGCTTTCTGCTTACTTGTCAGGGAGCTGGACACTCCCAGACTCAAAAGACTGGGCTCTTCCTACTGTGGACCCAGCGCATTAGTGTTCTTGCATCCTTAATCACTTCACTTATGTCCGGAAATCATTATCTTTTGCTCCTCCATTGGACTGACCAAAGTCACTCTCATTTCTTGGTGATTACATAGGCGAAGGGCAGACTTCACCCCGGGCAACTGGCTTATTAATTTGTTAGCTCACACAATTTTCACAAGGGCAGAGATGGGGATGCCTTTTGATTTTGAATTAGAGTACATTCTGATTTTTAATTATTTTCTATCCTTCTGTACACTGGGGGCTTCAGGCACAACCCTTGCTTTCTGAGCTCACTGTGTGGTCAAACTCCTTAACAGAAAATTTTTGAGAAGGGAAATTGACCTGGGGCCAAGCTATTCTAACACCAATCCGTAGGTGCTCCGGTGCATATTTGTTCAGCAGCAACCCACGGATTCACTCGTCACTGTAGCACACAGGGACATGGTAAAGGAAGACAAATGTCTTGTGTCAGTCTCGAAGGCCATCTCCTCTATATAAAGCATTTCTGCTGGTTCGAATTTATTCAGTTCTGATTTTTACACACAAGGGTCACTTCTGTGAGAAAGAACTTTCCTCCCCCCAGATTTTCATGCCCTATGCTGGTCAGACACAATGTGTAAATTCTGACTGGCAGTGCAGGCTTAGAGATTTAATTAGAGATTTATTCTCTTTTTCTTAGAGATAGTACAGAGCCATGGTAAGAAGTGCAGGTTCACACCTTGCTGCCTGGGTTCAAATGTTGGCTTTATGACCGACAAGCTGTTTGTCATTGGAAAAATCACTTAACCTCTCTGGACCCCAGTTTCCTCATCTGTAGAATAAGAATAATAATAACAATACCCGTTTCATATGGTTGTGGTGAGATTTCAGTGCTATGTATGTGGTCGGCAATTATTATTAATAGTATGAGAAGTTGCATTATTGAACGCGCACTTCTCAATGCGGAGGTGGGTGGGAAGTAGGAAGCCAGCACCCTGGCTGTGTGTGCAGATGGTTCTCTTGCCCCAGGGGCACAGCTGGGTGCTTGCTCCACCCCCTCAAGCCCCAGAAGTTTCATTTCTGCCCTTTGTGCTCAGCCACAGGGTGTCTGAAAGAACCCTGGCCATGCTGCCTTGGGGCCCGGAGGCCTGTGGTTTGGGGGACTGAGGATGTGGCCTGGGGACCTGGGGGGGCGGTGTGGAAGCACAGAACACAGAAGTGACTGGCTGGGGAAGCAGAGTTTTTCCCTTCTGCCAGGCCTGCCTGGCACTGACCTCAGACATCCTCATTCTGTCCTTCTCAGCTGCCTGGGGAAGGCTTTATAATATTGAGTGGAGAAGAAGGGGCAAAGGAAGAACCTGATTTCAGGGATTTGGTGTAATGTACTTGTTAATGGATGTGAATGTGGGGAACACTGAAACATTGTTAGCCGGAATGGTATACATGAGTAGCTGATCAAGTGATTGAGCCTAGATAGTATATCAGCTCTTAATTTCATAGTTGATTCAAATGCCTTGATTAGAGCATCTAGTACCAAAAGAGAGGATTGTTTTTACAAAGCTACCACTCCCATAAGTCTTGGGAACAAAGGACTTCATGATCATTTCAGGGTCCAAACTTGGAGTTGATTTGTTAACCGGCCCAACGTAGTTCACTAAACTGAAAACTTTCTATACACAGTCTCCTAATTTCTTCTTAACTGCCAGTGAGTTCTG